AACGAATTTCCGTAAAAATCACGAATCTTCTTGATTTCTTGATTTCTGTTTCAGCAGATTTACTGGCTTGCTTGAACCTCCGTCATGGGAACGCAATTCGTGAGGTAGTAGTTTGCCCGCTGAATTCATTCACAAGGGTAGAACTAGGACTGGCCAATTTTGGCTGATGGCGTGCTGCAACCGCGCACTCAATACCCATGTCTTGTAGCTTCGCCTTGTTTTGGGTCTCAAATTAGTACATCGGCTTTCGTTCTCGATGAAACTTAATAACTTTCAGCTATGACGGACTTCCACTGCAACAGCGTCCAGTTCTTCGTCGATGAAGACCCAAGCGATGTGACGACATCAGTTCAACGTGAGTTTTGTTTTCGAAATAACTAGAACAGTTACTAACTGGTGGGCTTACATTTCGTTTAAAGTCCCCAAGAGCTGATCTCACGTGAATGAGGTAGTAAAGAAATCATTAAAGTCAAATAAACGGAAAGGAGACGTTTTTGTTAGAAAAAAAAGCCGGTATCGGACAAGAAGTAAAATCATTTGAAAGTTGATCAAAGCGTTGACAAAGATGATCAGAAAGATGACCATTGAACTGGAGAAGCATGGTCTCCTCATGAATCACCGGGAAATCATGGAATCAAGAAACAGCTCAGCGCAGTGAAGACAAAATCAGAAGTTGAGAGATGCGCAGCGCTAGAAGCGCTCTACCTCAAACTCCAGTGTCATTTGGGTAACGCGATTGATCATAGTTTTACCTTGTCTCGGAAGTTTAATGCTAATTTTGCAACAGAATGCTGAAAATATGGCCCAGATTGATCAACTCTTTGAGATGGATTAAAGGCAGTGAACACGTCGACGCGACGCCATTTGATTAAGTCATTGCTCAAGTCATTGTGTTAGGGACGTAGGGGTGGGACCGCCCCTTTACGCCCTCTCACCAAGGGCGTCCAATGACGTCACCAAAACCGCACCGCCCTCCAGCCAACGTGGCCACTACCGTTTGACCCCTGGCCACTACTTTTGACCACTCCTCTTTTACTCAAACTCGTAGATGCTCGTAAATACGTACCAGGCAGATTGTGAGAGTGACTTACTGGCAACTTGCGAGGGTTAGCCAACCCTTATGCCATCTTTTCAATCCCCATACCAACCCTATTACCTGATAAAAGCCGGCCTTAGTAGGAACCTTCTCGGCCGAGAATCCTCTCTGTGGTAGTTAATTGCCGGCTTCACACCGGTCTTCTACCTATCAACGACGCTCAAATGAGACCAGAACCTGGATTTCTTCGAGCGCACTCATTTTGCCAAAATTCATACCCAGCAGAACTGTCTCACGATGGGTTGTATCAAGCTCTGTAAAAACCGCGTCGAATATCTTACTAACTATTTCAATCGAAAAAGCGTGCGTATCGTCAGTCATGATGATGTGCATGTAATGGACGTTGCTCGGAACTGAATTACGGCATCATTTGCAATCGTGCTGGCCAAACCCCATCACAGCTCTCTGTTCGTCTCTACCGTCATCCACATCAATGCAGGTACACAGTGCATTAAGCACTTCAATAAAGACCCCACATCATAAGAAAAAATTCAACGTGAAAGGCGGTCGCTAACATAAGAAGTTCAGGCATAGTAAACTTCCTGCATAACTCTCATAGCGCTGTGTCAAAGAAGTGGGAACAAAACAGATCCTCTGTTTCATTTCGAATACGGATTCTCATTCATTCTGCTCAAGGTGAGCCTCAGATTCCTTCTGCCATTCGAACAATGTAGCCTTAATCTTAAGAGCTCATTTCTACTCACTGAACTCGCGGCGCTCTTCTCAATCGTCGTCTACATGGCCAAACGAGACGAACGCACATTCAATCGATACAAAATTCGGAGTCTTCTGAATTTCAGCGTAGTAAGAAGGAATGGTTGATGGAACTGACGAAACATCTGTCAAGTGAAGACTTTTCAGGGATCGGTGAGCGAAGAAAAAACAGATTCGGAGTTGATTCAAGAAAGCTGCAACAATCCACCAACGCGATTCAATCGAGGACGCCGCGCGGGGTCAGCTGCCCCGATAACTTTTAGTAGATCGCAAGTTTTCTCTGTTCTGTGGAGATTTTCGAAAGGATTTCTCTTAGAACACAAAATTGCTAATACTCACATCAACTATGAGTTCATTAGCTTTTCAAGCAAAAATATGCCATTATGGCTAGACAAATTTTCAAAAAAAAAAACAGCCGACAAGATGCGATTCCACCTTGGTTGGAAATGCACTGAATTGAAAAGGGGACGGGACTGATGCTTAAGCAACTGCTTCTTCAAAATGGCAAAGACCACGCTCATTTAGGATATGTAGTCCAACGTTATCGGATCGCACTTCACTCGATACTATTACGTCACCATTAGCAAAGCGATACGAGCACAGGAATAGCGCATATCAACAACCTGGAGCTCTATTCCTTCCAGGATTTGGAACGGTAAGTTTCAATCCACCTCAACCCCTCACTTTCCGAATCATAAAGACGGCGATAGGATAGAAGCAAGTGGCGTGACTGTCGCAAACATGCTCGAGGACCCAACCCAGGAGACTCCTATAAGCCCCAGCAATACTTCTCTCCTCTGGGATTTGGTTGGTACCTGGGTCGCAATGGGTTACAACAGGACTGAAGCGTCAGCACCTAGCGTAAAAATTAGATTAAAATTAAGTCGCACCCGATGGTGCAAATCCGAAAATGGAGTCGAGTGGCACATCTTAGAAAATGGACAATCAACAAGCGTTACCCTTTTCAAAGAAATTACGAAGAGCACGTTCAGCC